GGTGGGGCCAGTGGAACACAGGGATTGGTGGCGGTACCTGTAGCACTAAGACATCTGGACGGTTTGGGTAGGCAAAGGAGACATCTTGGAACTGGACGAGGCCCACCAAGTGTAAGGGAGTCAACAGACCACTAGGTGGGCAGCGCGGGGTGCGGTCCAGGTACTCAAATATTTTCTCTGAAGAGCCCACAGCCTTCTGTACTCTGGGGTAGGTGGACAGCAGTACCTAGAGGGAGGTAAGAATAGTGAAAGTGAGGCGGGAGACCTAGTCTGCTTGCCAGCATTACGTGAAGTGAGAAGGGTAAAGAATGGAAGGAAAGCACACAGATGGCGCTGGGCCAGAGGAAGGAATCACACTGGGAAGTGAAGGTGGAGGGACCTCACCTCCACAGCCTCAGTGAACTGCATCTGGTAGAGAACAAATGTGACAAGGTTCCCACTGCTTACAGCGCCACTGGTCACCAGCTGCCCACCAGTGTAGAGGATTCCCACCTTCAGCAGCATCCCTGAAATCTACAAAGAGACCACAGAAAAAAGGGACTGAAATAGAGATATCTGGAGGGGACACAAAGAACCACAGTCATTAACATAAAGGAAATATCAAGTCCCTTTGTCCCAAGTGACATCAGCAGGCTCAGTAGGTAGACAGGAGAATGAACCAGAGACCCCATGGAGTCCGGCTCAAATGCATAGAAGTCATGGTTATCTTCACCACCATCACCACTGTCACCTTGCCTGGGAAGCATTTTACTCTTCACACAAAAGGCTTTCATTCATGTGATGTCAGCTAATGTATCAGGAGCCCTATAAGGAAGATTATATCACTCCATTTTTCAAAAATGAGGAAACAGCCTCAGAGAAGGTAAATTAGTTGCCATGATCACAAGGCAAGTAAATGGCATCATCAAGCCAGGACCTTCTGATCACTGGTGTAGCTCTCTTTCCAGTGCATCACAGATGTCCCTCATCCCTGGCTTCCCTATTCCCATCACTCTCACTAGCACGTCTACACAGTACCAGCATGCAGCAGGCCCAGGTGCAAGAATCTATGGCTCCCTGCACTTCCTCTGAGAGGCAAAGGAAGGCCCCAGGACTGGAAGACATGCATGTCTCCAATCTACATGATTGGGTGGATTTTATATACCATACTGAAAGGAAGCCACCTGGCATCTTTAAGGAGAGGGAGGGGGTTAGGGACACTAAGTAGAGTCATTGAGCCTCAGGTTCCTAGGATGAAAACACTGAACCAACTATCTCCCAGTAAAGGAGTAGTGGAAGCAGAGTCATGGGAATGGGAATGGAGTCACGGCATCTTGGGAACAAGGGAATGGGTATTCATCTTCAGGTGCTCACACTGGTGGTCCAGAAGTTGACTGCATAGGCCAGAGCCTCCTTCTGGTTGAGTGTCCTTATTTCTTGTAGCTTTTCCCTAAACTTCTGGACTTCACCCTCCTCATTGGCAAAGCTTCGAACTGTAGGCATGGCCGACAGAGCCTCAATGGCCACCTGGCTTGACTTTGCCAGAGATTCCTGCACCTGCACTCCCAGCAACTGTGGAGACATGGACAAGAGAGGTCACATGGGTTGGCAAACCATCAGGGACATTAATACCTGAGTTACCTAGTTGGAAATTAAAGGTGAGAAGAGGCAGAGGAAAGGAGAGAAGAGAAAGAGACACAGCTATGCCCCTTGGATACTAAAGAAATACAAGGAAGAGGAAAATGACTCAGAACAAGCTGGGGATCAAATTCTTAAATAGAGACTGTGCTAGAAAAGAAGATCTAGAGAGTATGGAGAGTAATGTTGAGCAAGCTGGGAACATGGATCACAGGGACAGGGCGTTCTGTGAAGATGGAGAATCAGTAAGGGCGCCAGGAAAGTTGGACTGAAAGCAATATTAGAGGCACTGATTCTACCAACTCTGGGAGATGATGTCTGTTTAGAGCGGGCCAACTCCATGAACATACCTGGTTCCATTTTCCCAGCTTCTTGGGCAGAAGGAAAAGCAGAGGCAGGGCGACCAGGCTGACCATGGTGAGAGGCACTGACTCCCAGAGCATGATCCCCAAGAGACACATGCCTCGCACCAGGTACCACAGAAGTAAGCTCAGATTCCCACTCAGAGACCCACTCAGGGTGGACGTGTCCTCTGTTACCCGAGACGTGATGGTACCTGCAGGGTTGGGAGAAGAGAGTGAGGTGAATCAGACAGGTTGCAAGTGAGGAGAGGAACTAACAATGAGCCAGGGTACCAAGGTCAGGGGTGTCAACATGGGGTTCTAAGAAGGCTGCAGGAAACATGTTTAGGGGTTCGCAGAGGTCTGAAAATCTCAGTGCAGGGAGGATGAGTGTTAGAGAAGAAAGGCCTGACCCGAGACTTTCATTTTTATTATAAAGACATTGATGCACATGTGAATTTCCATTTTTCTGAAAGCATTCTGTTCCCTAAAGAACCTGTATGTCCCATGCTATACACACAGGCAGGAAGAGCTCAAACTGGTCACGTAACAGAAATGGAGGAGGAGGGTGCTGCTAGGAAGCGTGCCAGTCTGTGGAGCCCTCACTGGGAATCAAGAGACTAGGGTTCTAATCCCAGGTGTGTCTCTAGCCATATGTAACTGTGCAGTTTCAGTATTTAGGGTCTCAGCCTCAGTTGCCTTCTCTTCAGATGAGGCAGTTGGTCTCTATAAGCTCGAAAATTCCAGGTTTGAAATTCTATGGTTTCTATCTAAGGATGCATAGGAACAGACTTATAAGAAAATCCGTGATGAAATCTCTAGGTTTTTCTTAAAGGACAACAATATTTTACTCCTGAGGTATGTCAAGAATGAGAAAGAACAGTGTGTGTGTGTGTGTGTGTGTGTGTGTGTGTGTGTGAGAGAGAGAGAGAGAGAGAGAGAGAGAGCGCACGCGGGGAGGTGGGAGATCAAAGCAGATGTATGATATAAATAGTACATGGTGTATAATGAAAGAGTTTCATGAGAAACCTGTTTGGTTCTGTTGGAAAAACTCTGTCTCCTGGCGCAGGACAGCCCCAAACACCTCTCCCTGCAAGTGGCTGTGAACGCGGCCCATGGTGGTGTTATAGATCCCGTCACCCACGAACTCCAGCACTGCACTAGAAAGAGCCCGGGAAAAAGGGGGTCACGGTGTGTTCAGGGAACAGATTGAAGGTCCGAGGTATCCCCATGTAAGTGCATTTTGGACAGCAGCCCCAAATTCCAACTCCCTCTTTTGCAGAGTGAGCTATTTTCAGCCCCCAGACCTGGCTATGGTGAAAATGGACATAAGAGTTATGTTTCGAGTGAAGGTATCCACTGAGCCTTTTTGTAGAATCCAGTCAGTGAGGCGGCCCGTGAAGAATGGAATGGCCATCTCCCCTGGGGAAAAAGAAGAGAGGTCACGCACAAATATTGTCTAGGCGGGTCAGTTCCAGTCAGACTGGCCCCACCACTCCTCCTCCCCCTCACCATCATGCTGGAGAGCAACAGAAGAAAGGAAACACTGACATCTCAATCCCGAACCTAAATAGGCTGCCCTCGAACTCACTACCCTGTGGTTGGTCTCCCAGAACTTTGAGGATTTCATTAGGAAGGCTGGAGATCATGAAGTAGAAAAGCCTCCCGTTAAAGATGAGGATGCCGGGCCCCTCTGCCCCAGAGCGAAGAACTTCCCCGCCCCCGCCGTGGCCCAGAGAATCAAGACCCGGCCAGCAATGGAACCCAGAACTCCTGACTCCCTCCAATTCAGTGCAGTTTCTTCTACGCTGAAGTGGTCTTCCAGGACCCACGCTAGGACTTCTTCCCCTGCTGCGCATTTTCCAGAACCCACGCTACTCTACCTCACTGACAATTACTTTAGATTCCTGCCCCGTCCCCTCGTGTCGCCCCCTCGCGCCCTGCGTTCCTCTTACCAATAGAGGATAGGACCACCAGGACCAGGAACAGCGAGAGGCGGCGCATCTCCGGGCCCAGGAAACCTAGAAGCCGAAGCACAGGGTCTCCAGAGCCTCCCTGACTGCCGGGCACGCCGAGGCCCCCGAGCTTGTGCCACAGGACGGCTGCGGGCAGTGCCGCCGCGTAGCTGACGACGAAGGCGCTGGGGTGACTTCCCCAGTGCAGTAGCCTGGTGCTATCCGCGGCCCCGGGGGTTCCCCACGAGACCAGCTCTCGGAACGAGGCAAGTCCCGGCAGGGCTAAGCCCAGTGCCGCCGCCAAAGGCTCCAAAGCCGCCAGCCAGCCCTGAGCACCTGCGTTTTCGCTCTTGGAGCCAACCGTTGCCCTGAGGACCCCGCGGGCCCCCAGCCACAGCACGGCCCAACGGCTCAGGCCCACTGCCCAGACCCGGAGCAGCGGCAGCGCGGTGGGCACCAGCAGGGAGAATATGCAGGGCAGCGCGGTCCGGAGCAGCACCCAGTCAGCGAGAAGCAGCAGCACTGTCCCCAGCCACGCGACAGAAGCTCCGGAAAGGCAGGGGCACCCGCGGGGAGCGGGACACCTAGAGCTAGCCATGGGCACGGTGACGCCGTCCGGGTCCGGGCCAGACCTGAAACTCCCCTCGCTACGGTAGGGTGGGAGTCTCTGGGTACCTCTGAGTCCGCCCCTACTGGGGTTGAGGGACAGAGCGAGGGCGGGGCTCTCGGAAAGTCCCAGGAACCGACTGATTGGTGCTGGCGAGAAGCGCAGCCATTTAGGGGAAAGCGAAATCGAAAGCGGCAGCCTGCCCACTAGATACGCCCACTTCCAAAAGTGGCCTGCCCAGACTATTTTGGGAACAAGCGTGGAAATCAAATCTGAGAATCTGGGGAGCAGCACTGGTGCCCAATTTTCTCCATCACGCACACCCCTCCCGCTTCTCCCTGCCTCCTGCCTCTCCACTTATACCAGTTTTCCCACCCAGCCTCAGGACGGGGCTGACTCGTCACTTGTCTCCGGGCAGATCCTACCTACACAGGTTAGCGCCCGGCGCTAAGTCGCCCCGCAGCACCCAAGCGCCTCCTGGCGGTGCCGTGGAGGGGCGGGGCTGCCGGCTGCGCGCTGCGCGCTGCGCGCTGCGCGCTGTCCCAGGTCCGAAACTAGTGCCCCAGGCGGCGAGGAGCGCGCGGTGCCTGGCAGGGATGCTGCAGGCTGGAGCACCAACTGGGGACTTACCCCGGGCAGGAGAAGTCCACACCGGGGTAATGGGTCTGGGCTTGAGGGTTGGCAGAGGGGTGGAGGAGGTGCAGGGGCCGGGGGACGCTGGAAGCGCGGAGAAGTGACTGCAGAGACTGACGCGAGAGTAGGGTGGTAGCAGCTAGCAGCGGTTGCAACCCGTACTGAGCACAGCGTATTTCTATTCTGAGGGGGGTCGTCTAGGGTGTCCGTGAAGGCACGCAAGGCTGGTGGAAAAGGGGGTGCTTTGACTCTTAGCTAGAAGCGTCAAGGGGAAGCTGCTCTAAAGCGCTTTCGCTTTCACTCTGGTCCGGACAGTGGGGGCTGGTTAAATCAAGAAAGGGGGTTGGGGACATGCAAAGAGATGAGGAAATGGTACCCGGGGTGAAGCAGAATACCACTTGGGAGAAGGAAACATGGGCACTTATTGAGAAGGACCAATTCATCACGCAGACTTTTGATAAACTTGCCACTGGGTACTCAACCCAAGCACTGATAATGGGGGTTCTGTGTTAACCTGTGATGCCCTTCCCTAGCTTGACCCAGGAAGGCCCCTCCTTGACCCAGATGCTGCCTTGCTCCCTTTTCTGTGTCTTCCCTGCCCACTCCCATGTGCCAACTGGGGGACTTTGCTTAGGATGGGCACCTGGGGCAGGTGGTAGCCCCAAGACTGGCTGGCTTCTGCTCTCAGACTACTGCCACCACTTGTGTCTTGGGGGCGGCTTTGTTGTAGAGGAATAGCCCCTAAGATGAAGTTGACTGCTCTTTGGCCCTCTATTCATGATAAGTCGGTCTGGTGGAAAACACACTCAGAGGAGTGTCCTTTGGGGCCAGAGTAACTTATGGCCTGGTAAGAAAGGCACAGTAAAACCACAGAATTTGGGAAATCTCCCCTAACTGCCAAATGAGCAGTGGCAAGTAGGAAGCAGAAGTCAAACAAGGGATAAGAGTTAAACCTGAATTTTAGTCCCAGGTCTACTATTAATTCTGTGTGACTTTGCATAAGTCGTTTGCATTTTCTGTGACTTGGTTTCCTCATTTGAACCAAAGATCCTTAAGGCTCCTTCCAACTCAACAGTAGAAAAAATATACCTTTATCTTCCACCACTTTCTCATGATTCTTTTTCTTGACCTGGAAAAGTCAGCTTAACCTCTTCAGTCAAATCCTCTCTTGGTACAGATTTACCCCCCTGGCTGCTCAGATACCTATTTATCTCTGGATCAGAAGTTCCATAACTGAAACTTTTATTTTAAACCATCTGCGTGTTCCTTGCTACTTCTCTCCTGCCTTGCCTCTGGCCATGCTAACCACTGCCCTCCTCGATTTTTTCCAATGTTCAGTAAATTGAAAGAGCTCACTTCTGATGAAATGGCAGTGAGAGTGAAGGATTGTGGGCCAAAAAAAAAAAAAGGGCTGACCTTGTTTCTCAAGGTCATAGGCACTTGCTCTGAGTTGGGTCTATACCACATCTGCACATACTATGAGCCCTTCCAGTGGAGAAAAATTTCACTTGTGGAGCAGCTTCACTTCTACCTATAGGAGCTTAATTTCCACCTCTCTCTCTTCAGTGGAAAGGATTCCACTAGGCAAGTCGGAACTTGGGGACACAGGTCTTTCCGTGTTGTATCACAGCTGGGCTGTGGCATTCCGCTGCAGCCGGATGAAGCAATAGAGAAAGTGGAAAGATGAAGGGGAAAAAGCCTGTACTGACAGTCAGCTCTGGCCTGTTACTGTGTGATCTTTGAGCCAGTCACTTTGCCTCTCTGGGAATGTTTCTTCTTCTCTAACATGAGGGGATCAAGGCTCTTCTTGCCCCGACATTCCATGTTCTGTGTCTCTGCAGACAACCATCATGGCAGTGGAGTTTGACGGGGGCGTAGTGGTGGGTTCTGATTCCCGGGTGTCTGCAGGGTGAGTAAAACAGAAGCTAATGGCCTCAAATACACATTTTTCTTACCTATTCATGAAAAGACTGGTGAACTGGAGCTTTGGAGGAATGGAGTTGACCTTCCCAAAAAGCCACTATAGTAAACTATTTGGTTGGTGCCTGGGTCTCTGAATTTCTGGAGGAGGATCTGGGGACTGAATGCCTATGTGACCTGTCCCAGTAGTGTACAGGGATGAGTGTAAAGGAACTGAGTCTGAGAGGGGGACAGGAGATAGAGTTTTGAGGGGCTTCTTTCCCTCTGTGTTTAGGGATCAAAAAGATTATTCTGTTAAGCAGATGTTTGGTTTCTCATTTACCACGTATGGAATTGTTTTGTCTCTTCTCCCCCTCCTAACCAATTTCCTCACATGCAAAATTAGCATATGGGGTTAGCTCAATATTACTTACATGAGGTTCCATAGAACATAACTCCCTCAAGATTTTTAATAGCAAAGGAAAATTGATGAGGCGTATTTTTCTGAACTTAGTGTTTTTTGTCTTATTATAAAACCTAAGCCTGAAAAATAAGCTTAATTTTGATTAACACCTGCAATGATTAATAATATCTAAGATGATTATTATTTGCCTCCTGCTTTAATTCAAACATTAAGCCTCATGCTATTCTCTTGTCAAATAAATCTGAGAGACATTGAACGATCACCCTCAAAAACTCCTGAGTTCTGGTTGGGTGCGGTGGCTCACGTCTATAATCTCAGCACCTTGGGATGCTGAGGTGGGCAGATATTTGAGGATAAAAGTTCGAGACAGCCTAACCAATGGATTGAGACGCGGTCTCTATTAGAAATACAAAAATTAGCTGGGCTTAGTGGTGGGTGCCTATACTCCCACCTACTTGGAAGGCTGAGGCAGGGTAATCACTTGAACCAGGAGGCAGAGGTTGCAGTGAGCCGAGATCGTGCCACAGCACTCCAGCCTGGGCAACAGAGTGAGACTCTGTCTCAAAAAAAAAAAAAAAAAAAAAAAAAAAAAAATCCTGAGGTCTAACGTTGGTGACTGTTGACTCTCGACAGCCAGGCGGTGGTGAACCGAGTGTTTGACAAGCTGTCCCCTCTACACGAGCGCATCTACTGTGCACTCTCTGGTTCAGCTGCTGATGCCCAAGCCGTGGCCGACATGGCTGCCTACCAGCTGGAGCTCCATGGGTATGAAGCTCTGGGTTTCTGACTCCACACCGACTAGAGCTCCCCCAGCTTGCATGAATCTCTGTACAGTGTGCTGTTCCTGGAGCTGGACACTGGAAAATGAAGGATTCTTGTTTTGGCTTCTGCTGGCACTTGAATCTGCCAGTTTCTGTACCTGTAAAGTAGAGATAATAGTACTTCATGAGGCGGTTATTTTGAGAACCACGTGATATATGTGAACACAGTTTAAAAGCTGTAAATCACTATCCTAATATAAATAATCAGGACGAAAGCAATATTGTGACCCACCATAATGTCAGGCAGTTACCATAAGAGAAATCAAGGTCATTGGGACGGAAGTAACCTTATCTGCTTTTCCCCATAAAAGCAGGGCCCTGGCCGCCAAAAGAAAGTTATGTGGGTGGGGCTGAGCAAAAGAGAGTGAGCAATTCAAAGCTTCCTACCTGTTAGTGGTGTGGGACTCTGGTTCCCCTGTCCATGTGGGAGGGAGGCTGCAGTTTGAACTATTGCAGCTATAGTTTTCAGGGGTCATTTAGCAGGGATGGTGGTAACAGTATAGGAGAGTGAGACTTAAAATTCTATCAACCTTATTCCTAATCATTCCTTCAGGATAGAACTGGAAGAACCGCCACTTGTTCTGGCTGCTGCAAATGTGGTGAGAAATATTAGCTACAAATATCGAGAGGACTTGTCTGCACATCTCCTGGTAGCTGGCTGGGACCAACGTGAAGGGGGCCAGGTGAGTTTCTCCTAAAGCACTCTCTCTGCTGGGATTCCCCACTCTCCTGCAGAGGAAGATGGAAGTCCTATGTCATTCTAGCAATGAGTTCCAAGGACACTACCTCTGAAAGTGTAGTACATTGGGTATATGAGATACTAGGGCTTCATTTCAGGTGCAGAGACCACTTAACGTCTTAGTGGGAAGGAAGGGTTTGATGATCCTTTAGTCTAACCTGAGGATGCCCCTCCTCAGGTATATGGAACCCTGGGAGGAATGCTGACTCGACAGCCTTTTGCCATCGGTGGCTCCGGCAGCACCTATATCTATGGTTATGTGGATGCAGCATATAAGCCAGGCATGTCTCCCGAGGAGTGCAGGCGCTTCACCACAGACGGTAACCCACCAAGTGGAAGGATACCTGGGGAGGGCTTTTAAACAAGGGAAGGAAGTAGATTATGAGGAACAGGAAGAGAAATACAAGGATGATCGTTTAAGTTAATATCCAAACTGGTACTCTTTTAAGAGCGAAAAGGGGCAGGACAATTGCAAAGCTCGATGGGGCTCTTGGGCAATGGGATAAACCAGGGCGGCTGTGAGTAAATCAAATGAGGATACACAGTCACCGTAAGAACCAGTGTTATGCTAAGCACAATGGCTTACACCTGTAATTCCAACACTTTGGAAGGCTGACGCAGGAGGATTACTTGAGCCCAGGAGTTTGAGACCAGCCTAGACAAGATGGTGAAACCCTGTCTCTACAAAAAAATAAATAAATAATACGAAAAACAATCTGGGCATGGTATGCACACTTGTAGTCCCAGTTACTCAGGAGGCTGAGGTGGAAAGATCGTCCGAGCCAGAGAGGTCAAGTCTATGATGAGTGGTGATTGTACCACTGCAGTCCAGCCTAGGTGACAAAGTGAGACCCCTGTTTGAAAAATAAGTAAATAAGTAAAAGAACCAGTGGTGTGCTGAGGCTGGCTTGGGACAGCTCAGGAGAGCTGCTTGTTAAATATCCAAGGATTTGTGGGCTGCTTGTTAAGCTGTTTGTAACTTTGTAACTTGCGATTGATCACAGTGGGAGCATTTACACCATGGACATCAGCAGAAGCCTTTGCAAAAAAAAAAAAAATGATTTACGAGGACACCATTAAATAGGCCTTTCTGGAAGTTGGGTTTTGAGGTGAAAGCAGTAGTAGGCATATGGATGGAGAAGGAATAAAAAGATTTTCGGAGCTAAGCCATTCTCTCTCTCCCTCTCTCCAACTTGAAACCCTCTGCAGCCATTGCTCTGGCCATGAGCCGGGATGGCTCGAGTGGGGGTGTCATCTACCTGGTCACTATTACAGCTGCTGGCGTGGACCATCGAGTCATCTCGGGCAACAAGCTGCCAAAATTCTATGATGAGTGAACCTTCTTCAGATTTCTTTCTTATTTTGTAATAAACTCTCTAGGACCAAAACCTGATATGGTCATTGGGAAATGGGTGCTTGGGGAGATGGAGTTAGGGGAGGAAGCTTCTTCCCTCCAAGTGTCAGTACACATTCTTTATTCTTTTGTCCCAGGTCTAAAATAGCTTCCCCAGAGAAAAGAATAGGGACTCTACTAGAAGTATAAAGAGCCCCATACATGACAGGTCATCACATACTGGATGATTTTTTTTTTTTTTTTTTTGAGACAGAGTCTCGATCTGTCGCCCAGGCTGGAGTGAAGTGGAGTGATCTCAGCTCACTGCAATCTCTGCCTCCTGGGTTCAAGCAATTCTCCTGCCTCAGCCTCCTGAGTAGCTGGAACTACAGGTGCACGCCACCACGTCCGGCTAATTTTTGTATTTTTAGTAGAGACAGGGTTTCACCATGTTGGCCAGGATAGTCTCGATCTCCTGACCTCATAATCCACCTGCCTCGGCCTCCCAAAGTGCTGGAATTACAGGCATTAGCAACCACGCCTGGCTGAATGATTTTTGAAGTAGTACGAACAATAAAAATTCTCATTCTGAAGACCAAGGCATGAGGATGCAAGTGAGGATGTGGGACTCCTGCCTTTAAGGTTAAAACTGACAGACAAGACACCTACACAGGAGAATTAGCTAAGACTATCAGCAAACTCGCATGTAAAAGAATTCCTTTCATAATGCATTCATTCACATTAAAAAGCAATACATGAAAAATGCTTAAATATTTTGGGGCATTTGTGAATTTCAAAGAATTATAACAATAACCAAAAGAAGCTACATTTATGGAGCCAGGCATTGGCTAAATGTTTTGTAAATTACCTCTCTTAAAATTCAAGACAAAGAACCCACTGTATTCACACCTGTAATCCCAGCACTTTGGGAGGTCAAGGCAAGATGATTGCTTGAGCCCAGGAGTTCACGACCAGCCTGGGCAACATAGTGAGACCCCCATCTCTACAAAAAAATTTTTAAAAGTAGTCAGGTGTGGTGTGCATGCCTGTATTCCCTGCTGATTGGGAGGCTGAGTGGCAGGATCACTTAGGCGTGGAAGGTTGAGGCTGCAGTGAGTTGTGATCGCACCACTGCATTCTAGTCTGGGTGACAGAGAAAGACCATATCTCAAAAAAAAAAACAAAACAAAAAAAAAACAAAAAACGCCCAACCCTATATAGGTATTATATTACTTCTATAGGACAGATAAAGGTGTATAAAGATTAAATCACTTGACCAAGGTCACAAAATAAGTTCCAAGGCTGGGATCTGGGATTTAGTTTTATTATATGCCCTTCCTCTACCACTACCTAAAACTTCTCACTCCCTCAATCCCCATATATCATCTTGAAATCTGCAATAAGTATCCCCATACATTTGTTGCCACTTAAGAAACTGTTACCAGATGCCTGAGTAACTACATTAAAACGAATTGAGTTCTCTTCTGTCTTTGCCCTGCACTTCCTGAGTGACTGAAAAATGATTCACCTTCTGTGAACGCTCATGTCCTTTTCTGTCAAAAGAAGGTGCTTAATGATTTCTCAGGTAGTTTACAGTTCCAACATTCAATGCCATTTTGCTGACAAGTGGGCAGTCAACAGGCATATTCAACAGAAATGCTAATAGGATCTCACGCTAAACGTACAAATTCAAAATACTCTAAAACAGCCACATGCCCCTGGAGTGTAAATAAACATCTGAAATTACAGGTGCCTGGAGTTGTTTCTGGCCATGATATTTAACTTATCTGGAATTTTAAAACGCTGGTTTGATGGGCCATTTTTCCCACTGATCACAAATAGAAATTCTGGGCAGTATACAAAAATCGAGTACTCAAGAATTCCAAAAAGTAAACAAAAGCAGGTGGATTGTGAAGAGGGTCAAAACTTGGAGAGGGGCCCTTCCTGGGGAGTGGGTTTTTAATGTTTTCCCCTTTTTTCCCCAGCTCTGCCCTGGCCTCAGGCCTCAGGTGCGGAGCTGCACAGCGTGGTAGCACAAGCCCTGAGTCTACAAGAGAAATAACAGCTTTGTGGCCAGAAGAACCAAGAAAAAGGGTCCTGCGGGCAGGAAGGGGAATCTTTCATGTAGGGGAATCTCCAAAATGAGAATGCAGGAGGAAATTCCCTAATTCTGAGTCTGAGCCCTCAGGAGTACCAGGTTATCCCTGAGATGCACATGCGTGTGACATGCCCTAAGTGCACAGAAAAGACTTTGAGAACTGAACAAAGATTAAACCTTTTAAAATTTGAAGACTTCAGCCAGGCACAGTGGCTTACACCTGTAATCCCAGCACTTTGGGAGGCCAAGGCAGATGTATCACCTGAGGTCAGGAATTCGAGACCAGCCTGGCCAACAGGGTGAAACCCTGTCTCTGCTAAAAATACAAAGATTAGCCGGGCTTGGTGGTGCGAGCCTGTAATCCCAGCTACTTAGGAGGCTGAGGCAAGAGAATCGCTTGAACCCCAGAGGCAGAGGTTGCAGCCAGCCGAATTGCACCATTGCACTTTAGCCTGGGTGACAAGAGCGAAACTGTCTCAAAAAAAAAAAAAGAAAGAAATTAGAAGACTTCGTTTTTCTGCATTGGCCAAATAACTTTGTACTGATGCCCCTCGTTCCAATAAAAAATTTGTAGCAGCTTACAGAGATAATTTTAAATAATTTTTAAAAGTAGAAGACAACATGGGTCAAAGAGAAAATATGGCTAAGAAAATAAGTGAAGCCAAGGAGTAAAACTAATGTACAACATGAATATCTTTAAAAAAAAAAAAAAATGGTGTGCTGTCATACTGGCTAGCAAGAGCAGATTGTAAAATATTCAGGATTTTTCAAGACAGTTGTTAACTGTTGGTAACTTGATATTGATCACGATGGAAGTATTTATACTATAGAAATCAGCAATGCTACAAGTCAGAAGCATTGTATTTCTTCAGAGAGTCAGTTTAACAGGACCCGTATTTATCAGCCAACTACAAATGGATAAAAAATAATTGGCTCTGGGCCATAGGGTAGTGAAAGGAAAGCGGGAAATAAAATTAGGTACAAGATTCGTAAGATTCAGTTGTAAAAGTCACCAAAAAAACAAAAAATATATGTAATAGTTCAAGCCACACAGAACATTTACTCAAATGGGACATGCATCATTCCATAAAGGTAACTCCAATAAATTCCAGAGTATCAGTATCTTAGAAACTATCTGTATTCTAGGCCAGGAACAGTGCTTACGCCTGTAATCCCAGCACTTTCGGAGGCCAAGGTGGGCAGATCCCTTGAGTCCAGGAGTTCAAGAACAGCCTGGGCAACATGGCAAAACTCCATCTCTAAGAAAAATTTAGCTGGGCATGGTGGGGTGCACCTGTGGCACCTGTAATCACACCTACTCGGGAGGCTGGGTGGAAGGATCGCTTGAGCCTGGGAAGCAGAGAGGTTGCAGTGAGCTGAAATTGTGCCACCCACTGTACCCCAGCCTATGCAACAGAGTGGCACCCTATCTAAAAANAAAAAAAAAAAAAAAAAAAAAAAAAAAAAAAAAAAAAAAAAAAAAAAAAAAAAAAAAAAACCAGAAATATATTCTGCAACTATACTGTAATAAAATTAGAATTCGATTTTTAAAAAAGATACTCTAAATTGTAAGTAAACAAAAATATTTATCAGTAACATGGATTTAAAAGGCAGTAATGGGCAGGAGGATTGCTGGGGTCCAGGAAATGGAGGCTGCAGAGAGGCATGATTGCACCACTGCACTCCAGCCTCGGCAACAGAGTGGGACCCTGTGTCAAATAAGTAAATAAATAGCAGTTATAAAGAAAATTAACTCTTTTAGAAACAGGTGGTAAAAATGTTACACATAAAATATACACATAAAAAACTTATAATTTCAAATACATTTATTAGAACAAGAAAAGTTAAAATAAATGACCTAAACATTCTACTCAAAAATTTGGAAAAAGAGAAGTTGAGCAACCCTGAAGAAATAAGAAGGAAAGGCATTATAAAAATAAGAATAGAAAGCAATGAAACAGAAATAGAGAACAAAAAGCTAGGTAGTGAAATTAACATACTTTTGATTCCAAAAGCTACTTATTTAAAAACATTTGTAAGGTACTCAGAGTTGCAACAAGACTGATTACGGATAAAGGGAGAAAAAATGAATAAACCAATACAGAATGAGAAAGGGGAAACAGCTGTAGATATAAAGCAGAGTATTATGAACAAGTATACGCTAATAAATTTGAAAACTTAGGTGAGATAGGTAAATTTTTAGAAACATTTAATCTATCAAAATTAGCATGAGAAGAAATACAAAACTTGACTATACCAATAAGTATTAAAGCAAATTTTAAAGTTATCAATGGCCTCTAATACAAATATATATTTTTAAATGGCCAGATGGTTTCACAGATGAGTTCTATCAAACAAGAACATGAAACTCCTACGTTATGCACTTTTTCTAGAAAATAGAAATAAGATTAAAGCTTCCTAGCTAATTTTATCAGGCTAGTGTAATCTTGATTCCAAATTGAATGTGGAAAACTCAAGGAAAGAACATAATAGGCTCATTTCACTTTGAACATAGATGAAGAAAAAATAATTATTTATGAACAGAATTCAACAATATGACAAATAATAACACTGGGAAGCCAAGGTGGGAGGATCACTTTAGGCCACGAGTTCAAGAGCAGTGTGGACAACATACTGAGACCCTGTTTCTACAATAAAATTAAAAAATTAGCCAGGTGTGGTGGTGAGCACCTGTAATCTCAGCTACTGGGGAGGCTGAGGCAGGAGGATCACTTGAGCCCATGAGTTTGAGGCTACAGGAAGTTATGATTGCACCACTGCGCTTCAGCCTGTGCAACAGAGCAAGACTCTGTCTCTAAAAAATGTATAAAAATAACAATAATAATAATGACAATGCTAATAATGATAAGTCAAGATCAAATGGGAAATCCTTGGAATGCTAGGCTGGTTCAATATAATAAAATATATTGTTGCTATATTCACCACATTCATAGGCAGAAAAGTCATTTCCTTTGCTCAATCGATTTATAAAAGGCATTTGGCAAAGTGTATCCATTTGTGATTTTTGAAAAACAATTGAGGAAGCAGGAATCAAAACTTTCTTGTTTTGGTAAATGTTATATTCCAAAAAATCTGTAACTACCAGTATAAATAATGGAAAAATCTCAGGTTCCCAAGACAAGAATGTTCACTATAATTACTAGTTTAACAGCACTAAAGCCAATGGGCAACATAACAAGACCCCATTTACGAAAAATAAAAATTAAAAACTTTTAATTAGCTGGCATGGTGGGATGCGCCTGTAGTCCTAACTTCTTGGGAGTCGAAAGCAGGAAGATTGCTTGAGCCCAGGAGTTTGAGCTTACAGAGAGCTGTGGTAACACCACTGTACTCCAGCCTGGGTGACAGAGGAAGACCCTGTTTCTAAAAAAATAAAAAATACAAATACAAATTAGCACTAGACCAACAATGACTGTGTAGCATGAACTGAGGAATATTATGAATTCCACCATTTGCATCTGAGGTTAACAATATGTCAATGACTTAAATAATATCATATCTCTGAGAGTAATTTCTCCTATATTTCCATGACAAATGTTAGATAATTTTCCATTTTTTCCATCTAACAAAATAAACAGGGAATATAATTAAAGTGTTCAGTTGAAGACTGGGATTTAGAAAGCAAGATAGGAATTAAGAATAATCCTCAGTTCTCTTCCTAATTTGCAGCCTCTCTCACTGTACATATGTATTACTTTCTTTTTATGTCTTTTAGAATCTAATAAACATGTTCTATATTATATAACAAGCTAGAATTTATGGATGTCTTTGGTTTTCCTTCCCACGTTCTTAACTCTGCTGGCTCTGGGGTACTGGACATACCATGTAAGAAGAAAAATGTTTTAACTCCATTGAACTTACTCAGAAGCATTGGAAATTGGTTCAGCAATATTCAACTTTGCCCAGCAATGTTTATGACAGTTTCATATATAGTATAGCATAAGTATGCGTAGTATAGAATTTATGCTCTCAAAAACTAAGAGATAAAGTATGGAGATTCTAAACTGTGTTGACATAGAAGAGGGCAAATTTCTCAAAGAAACAGACTTCTATAGAAAATTGCTTGTGTGAATCGGGATTCTCCAAAGAAGCAGAGCCAATAGGATGTTGGCAGAGAGAGATTTATTTTAAGTAATTGGCCCATACTACTGTGGGGGGCTGGCATGTTGGAAATCTGCAGTCAGGCTGGAGACTCAGGAAGAGCTGACGTTGTGCCTCGAGACTGAAGGCAGTGCAGAGGCAGAATTTCCTCTTCCTTAGGGGACCTCAGTCTTTGCTTTTAAGACCTTAAACTGATTGGAAGGCCCACTTACATTATGGAGGGTAATCTGCTCTACCCAAAATCTATTGATTTAAATGTAAATCTCATCTAAAAATACCTTCATAGCAATATCCAGACTGGTATTCAAATGTTTGGAAATCATAGCCTAGCCAAGTTGACACATAAAATTAACTATCGCTTGGCTCAATGTGAAACTTCCAGATCAATGTGGCAGGACTGTTGAGGAAGGAAGTGAATTCAGTACTAACCAAGTGGGACAGCCAAATCATCACTGAGTGTGGCACTGGCTTTTCACCAAAGTAACACATGGCAAGGTTTTAGATCAGGACATGTACCAGACAAAAGCTGGGTGAATCGGTGGAGGCTTTTGTGCCAATCTTCATAGACTGGCTGCATCAGACTGCCCTAAAGAGCATACAAAGGAAAAAGGACAAATTAAAACCCTTTCATCCAAATGCAAGACATGAATGAAAAACTGTAAATGCCTCTACAGCAGTTTTAAAGGCTGTCTTTTCTCCTGCAACCCAGCACAGATATGGCTGAGGGCCAAGCCCAGGGCACTTATGATACAGGTTGTGACGTTGTAGAAATGTTTGTTGCATAATCTAACAGGGGCTGTTGTGCTAAGGCAAGACCACTGGTTGGGATAGACTGGACCCTGAGATATGAAATAGGGACATATGAACAGACACAGAAGTCTGAGCGAATCACCACACCCCCCCGAGGGCCCTTCCTGGAAGAAGCAGACTCACTGTATTAGTTATTTATTGCCATGTAATGAATGACATCAGCTTAAAATAACAGACATTTACTATTGGGCATTACTGGGACAATGGGGGATTTCTTAATATGGATTGCGTGTTTGATAATATGGTATCAATTTTAAGTATCTTGGGGGTGATGACAGTATTAGGGTTATGCAGGAGAAATGTGCTTGTTCTTAAATTATATGTGACAAAAT